AAACACGGCAGAAATAACGTAGATATGTTGTAAAAAAAACAACCGGCAGAATTGTCACCAAGGTTGGACATAACATAAGCCTTGGCACGGATAACGTGCGATCGATTCCCATGACCTTCCAAACACACCATGCACATAGTGAGCAAATACGCATAACCACCACAGACGTGGGGTTCCTCACGAACATCCGACACAACAGCCCTGTGATATACAAATGCACATTTCCTTATCGCATAACGAAGACAAAACGATGAATTAAAGAAAACTGATCGTCCCACAAAACGATGCATTAAAGAAAACTGTTTTTCCCACGATTCGCCAATCGTAACTGCTATCACAAATGAATCACCAAATTTAACCTCGTTCAGTTTTAACCTCGTTCAGTTTAACCTCGTTCAGTTTAAGAGCTAATGCAAAAAAATAGCTATATAAAATTTAAAAAAAACATGCAACCAAATAGTTAAATAACTACTCCCCTATGTTGCGCCATGGCATCCCGACGCTGACTAGACCCGCAATCCAAAGAAATGCTACAGCAGTATGTGAGAGAGCTCACAGAAGTATGTACGACCCCACCAACGCCGCCCATCGAAGGGGAATTTGTACGATGCAAGAGGCTAATTATCATCCCAGACGACATGAAGAACCGTCCGTAATCATTTTTGTGCTTAACTTCCTTTTGTGATAGTGGGGAGGAGGAAGGGCGAGAAGTCGGGAAAGGCGCCCGCGGCGTGATGGTGGCGAACTGGTTGTCATTTATAGATAATCTACAACCGGCGAGACCTTCCACCTCGAGCCGTTGTTGAACCCTATTGGGCTCCGACACATCTCTCTCTCTCTCTCTCTCTCTCTCTCTCTCTCTCTCTCTCTCTCGGCGAGAGCTTCCACCTCGAGCCGTTGTTGAACACTTGGGCCCCAACACCTCTCTCTCTCTCTCTCTCTCTCTCTCTCTCTCTCTCTCTCTCTCTCTCTTGCCCTTTTCTCTCTTACACAAAAACGCACACGAAGGCTTTCTAGTTTTCAAGTTAACCGCCGCTTAGGTAGTCAAAAGAACGAGTTTTCCTAACTAAAATGCTGTATTCCTTTCCAGACAAAGCCGTTCGAGCGATAGGCCATGCGAGCAGCATCTGTTTTCATATGCGCAACTGTTCTCGTATCATTGGCCAATCGTTTGCATTTCGTTATCTTTCCAACGGCAGGGGATGGGCGATCAAAGTTCTACCAAGTAACATAGAAAGTCCGACGTTCCAAAAGTGCATATAGACCACCTCTCCGACCAGATACGCTACAGTAACTGCCGAGCTATACACGACCCATCCCAGCGGCCTGCTAAACCAGCTGCGCATTGTTACCATTTACGCCGTTTGTCGGTTGGCCTCTAGTTCACCGTAGCACATCAACGCGTTCAATTGGGAGACAGACTAGCGTTCAGCAATAGGAACAGGTTCCATGCCGGTAGCCGTGGCAGTAGCAAATGCCGCCAATATCGTCCACTAGCAAAAAACAAAAAAAGATACCAGAGACCTCACACCCCCATCAAAGGACAACAGTCGTTAATTACAACAACCGTTAATTACAGAGCCACAGAGAGACCCGGCAAAACTCCCCAAAAAATACGCATTTGAAACCACCGGTTGCTGAGTCGTTTAGGATCAAATCGATATCTCTGACTCATTCGCCTTGTCAGGCTGTAAGGATGGCAAACTTGACCTTACTTATATCTAATACTTGTACACTAGTCGTTATTCCCATCACATCAATTCAATCAGTCTACTAAATTTCAGTTCCCACCACGTCGTCTAATCAGCTCGAAACTAGTTGTCAATCCTATTAATGATATGAATGAATAAACAAACTCACAATTCCCACCAGTCCATAACCACACCCATCACTCTATAACCACACCCATCACTCTATAACCACACCCATCACTCTATAACCACACCCATCACTCTATAACCACACCCATAACTTAATCCATCACTCTAAAACCACACCCATAACTTAATCCATCACTCTAAAACCACACCCATATACTGTTACCACGCGCACGACAAGCCAGACGCAATGGCTTCGGGAAGCCGATGAAATCAATAACCAACCAAGAACCGCAAGTCAAATTACGGGATCAACTCTCGCCTACACACACGCACACGCCCTACCTTGTATGCAGACCCTCTCTCTCTCTCTCTCTCTCTCTCTCTCTCTCTCTCTCTCTCTCTCTCTCTCTCTCTCTCTCTCTCTCTCTCTCTCGCTCTCTCCCCCTCTCTCTCTCTGTGTTCTTGTGTGGGGTACGTACAAGAGAGACATCTATACTACAAATATCAACCGATGCATGGGTATGTACCTAGCATACGTACATGGAGACCGGTTTCCAGATATCCATCCTTCGTCAGCAGAGCTTCCACATGCGAAGACATTTAGAACTAACTATAACGCCTGCTTGGTTTGTTGCAGGAAGACGCCGATACGGGTTCCAATGCAGGTGAAACCCAAAGCAGGCCGGCGATTTACCAGGTAAGACACCCCGTCGTGACAAGTGATACGTACACTACCTGGAGGATAAGGCGATAGGGCAAATTACGAGGTACTCTTAGCTTAAAGATGTGCTGGAGTCTTGACCGGCGAGAAGATATTGTATGACCTCCGATGAGAAGGGGCTGCGCTTAACTCTCATTGCAATTAAATTGAGAGGGACATTGATGGGATGAAGATGAGGGAAAACCAACCTGTCGTTTACCAAATCTGAAAGTTCAAGCGAGCGAAATCACTGGTAAAATGAACTGCTGAGCAACAGCTAGATTCAAACCGAAGAACAGCCCGCCTCTTACACTAAACTGCTCCCGTCGTTTCGGGCAATAGAAATGCTCGACAGCGAAAAAGACCTCATTGCTCGATGATAACGGCGGCCGTGTTGAAGCGGGACCTTGGCCACCAGAGCTCACGACATACGAAAACAGACGAGCGACTCAAGTCTTTCGACAAAAGATTACGACAAGAGACCAACCAACAGCTGCCATGACATAGTCAAGCCGTTCCTCCACACCAACAGCAATCATACTCCAGTCGATTACCCTGCACCAGAGGACATGATACAATCCAGCCAACAGCTGGCGTGACCGTTCCCCTTATTCGACAGCGCTGACGTGGACGTTCCAATTTACCCAACAGCTGACGCGGCTGCCCCAATCAAACGATAGCTGATTCTTTG